AGGCTGTCATGGCTTTCCCTGATCTCATAAATCCCAAATGTAATCACAATGGAATGGAGCCACATCTCATGGGGCAAAAACTCTGAAAAGAGGAAAAAGATGAAACATGATACCGTATACCTGCTAAGCCTCTATAGATCCTGCCTCTTCCATAAGTTAAAAGATAGATTCTTAAACTTGTGTAACTTTTTTTCCAGTGTTTGGGTGACCTCTAGTGGCTGCTTAAATTGTCACAGCCAATTGCTCATAGCAGAAATTTAAGTGTTTTGAGAAGTAACAAAAGATGGTATCACAAAGAAGCACTTCGCACAATTTCATGCTATTATGTAAATTCCCCATTATCCAACAGAATTTAGTTCACAATATAATATGTTTAATTCAAAATAGTTTACCAGATAGCTAAATATATACCACTATTTTTTTTAAGTGAAATAAAAAAAATTTTTTTAAGTGAAATGATTTTTCCCAAGTCCTTGCATTTCAAATAAAACATCAGCAAACACTCAGGAAGGGAACAGCGCAGGAATAAAAGACACAAGAACCTCAGGAATTAGCACCCGCCCCTCCTCTCAATGGAGGCAGCATAGGAATACAATGCTTACAATAGGGACAGCAACAGGAATGGGAGAAATACTTTGAGAACACAAGGTACCCAGTCTCCAAAGAGAGGGAAGCACTGACCACAGAACTCAAGCTAAAGTGAGCACAGGTGCCAAGTGTGGTTCAGGAACTGCTGGGCCAGACACTCGCAGTGGAGGTAGCAACACAAGTACCTGGAGAACCAGGCTAGAGGCATGGTGCCAGGAGTTAGGAAGGCACATTACCCAGGGTGACTGACAGGTCCCAGTTTACTGCAGATGCCCAGACCCTTGAGAATTCTTCCAGCAGCAGAACATATCATCTCCAACCACTGCCACAGGGAGTCACAAGCACCACGATCCCGCAGGGGAGTGGACAGTCTCTGAGCTCCAGCCTTGGTCTCTGGCTTATCTTCCCCAGACTCTATGCTACAAGGCACCCCTGCATCTCCAGACCCCCCTTACATTCTACCTACAATCACTTCTCTCCCCATGGTATCTGGCCCATGGATACCACAGAAGAGCTGACCCTCTAAGGCAAGAACCCTCAAAGCACAGATCCAGGACATTTCTGAGTACAAAGATCAGTTCTTCAAGGAAATGCCCTACTATTGTCTAGGACAAGTGTCTATGGCCATGAGATTCATTCAGGCCTGTTGCCTGTTGCCCAATGCTGTAGTTCATTATTCTGAATGCTATTTAGTATTCCACTGTATAAACATGCCATGCTTTGTCCATTCTACTGTTGATGGACATATGTTATTAGGTTATTTCAAAATGACTGTCTTCAAGTTCAAAAATTCTTTCTTCTACTTGCTCTAGCCTGCTGCTTACGTTCTTAATTATAATTCTGATTTCAGTGAATGAGTCTTTCAGTTCCAGGAGTTCTGCTACATTATTTTTTATGGTATTTAACTCTTTGTAAACTTCCTCCTTCATGTCCTGGATTGATTTTCTCATTCTGTTATGTTGTCTGAGTGTTCTTGTATCTCTCTCAGCTTCTTTACAATTATTACTCAGAATTCCCATTCAGACATATCAAGGGTTTCCTGTCATATGGGTTCTGGTATTTGGTGGTGTCATATTTTCTTGTTTTTTCATATGTCTAGTATCCCTATGTTGATGCCTAGTCATCTGGTTGTTGCTTCTTCGATTACTCTGGGGGGCTTTTGAGGAGAGAGACTCCCTCCTATAGATTTGTTATATATTGCCCATTGGGTAGGGTATTTTAGTTTTGTTTCTGGATAGCCTCAGTCATTCTGTGTAGACTCAGTAGTTCTGGGAGATGCCGGCAACTATGTCTGTGGCTGGGACTGCACACGTGGCTGGGCCCACGCAGGGTGGGGTCGTGTGTGGCTAGATTGCTGGCCCACATGTGCAGGTGGAGCCATGTAGGTGGCTGTGGCAACTGGGACCATGCAGGCAGTTTGATGTTGGAGGCCACGAGAGCTGCTTGATGGCTTGGCCCAGCTGGGCAAGTAGGGCCGCACTGGCTGGCAGGCAGTTGGAGGCATTTGGACAGTGGTGGCCATGCAGGTGGGTGGAAGGCTGGAGCTGCACGGGCACCCAGTGGGTCATGCGGGGGGGGGGGGGGCCCCACCAGGATAAACACTGGGGGGGGGGGGGGGGCACTGCACAGGATGAACTCCTGTGTGGAGGGAAGGGCTGTGGCTCTGCACTAGACAATGGCACAGACAACTGTGGTGGGGTGGGGGAGAAGGCTGAGGGTAGGAGGAGGGTTACCACAGAGAAGTACTCATGGTCGAGCAGATTCTTTCTGCTGCAAGGGAGGATTCCTCCTGTCTGATCCTCATTTGAGACGTGGCAGCAGCTGAAGCCACGTGCCTTTCTCCTCTACACCTCCCTGCTGGGTTTCATGCTCCACAGGGTCCTCGCCAGGCTCCCACTACCCCTTCCATGATCTCCCACCAATGCTCTCCCCCATACTTAGCTGTCCTTTCCCTGCTCTGGTCCCTCTGTGAAAGGATCATTTTGGGCACCTCTGCACTGCCATCTTGTCCCTGAATATTCTTTTTCAATAATCCATTCTTTCCAGATTATGCTTCACAACACTAACAGCTATTATTTAGACTCAAATTTTAATAGTTTTTTAAAAATTTGTTTCACCTATACTTTGCCTTAACACTTATTTAGTCAGTAACATCTTGCTCAAGTAAATTATTTTTTAGAAATGTTCATGAAATTCAGATTGAATCCCTGAATATCCAAAAATATCTTTATTTTGTCCTCATAGACAACATAATGACTGTATATAGAAAGTAAAGGTCACACAATCCCATAACATTGTTCCACTGTTTTCTGTACCTACTAGCCTTTTGTGTTACAAATAAATTAAATGTAAACCTGACTTGCTTTTGTTTATTTATAAACTAGTTTTTGGTATTCTCATTCTCTTTGAAATTATAAATTTCACCAGGATATGTCTAAATGTGCATAGTTTTTCAATGTTTTGCCTGACATTTGGTGAGTCCTGCCATCTAAAGATTTCAGTATTTCTTCAATTCAGGATAAAATTATCTTCTATTATTTTTTTCATGATCGTTTCACTTCTCTTTGCTCTGATATCTCCTTCTGGAAATTCTATTTTGTTTATCTTAGTACCAGCCAACAGAAATATAATTCAAGTGATAAGTCATTTTAAATTTCCTAGTAGCCGCATTCAAAACAAAAAAGAAACAGTAAAATTAATTTTAATATTTTATTTAACCAAATATCTCTAAAATATTTACAAATGAGATACTTTACTTTTTTTTTCCCCATAAGGAGTCTTCAACATCTGGTACGTTTTCCACTTGCAGTTCATCTCAATTTGTACTAGCTGCTCTTCAAGTGCTCAGTAGCCACTTGTGGCTGGTGGCTACCATGATAGTATAATATATATTCTGGAACTACCATACTTGCCTTTTTAGTTCTTAATTTTTATTCTCTCTCTTTTTCTTCTGAATCCTAAGGGAATTCATCCAAATGATCTTTAAATTCACTAATTCTGCTTCCTAAAGTATTCATCCTACTTATCTCTGCAATGACTAAATATTTTAATTCAACAGTCATGTTTTCCGTATGCAGGGGCTCTTTCTTCATGGCACACTGCTCTGGAGCAATGAATGCCTGCTCTGGTTATCCAGGAACGCTCTCTAAAATCTTAAGACTTTGTCTTAGACTTTTCTTTAAGTTCTCTCCCATCTCCTACAGTCACTCTGTCTCACTAAACACCTTTTGCTCTGAGCCATCAGACAGAATTCCCACTTTAGAGATCCTAATACTCCTCATCTTCCTGGTGATACTGCACTATCTGCCTAATCTTTTAGATGAAAATGCAGTGCATACATTTCTGGTAGCCAGGCTGGGTACCATCAGTGATCATGTAGGTCAAAATTCATTTCTTTTAGTCCCAGAAAGAAAGGAAAAGTTTAGACTTACAGACGTTTTTACAAGTAGCTCAGAGATCTAACAGTTTGTAGGGAATAGAGATATAATTGTAAGCAAGGGAAATTCAATGAAATTAAACTGATCTCCCATTTATGTCTACCCAGACAGCCTAAGGCCAGCTGGGATACTATCCCAGCAATTGGCTACTGCAGTAGTCAGCACAGACATGGAAAATTTTCCATCACTGCAGCAAGTTCTATTGGACAGTATGTGGCTAGACAATTCCTCTTAAAGTTCCAAATACCACACCACCAGTTTCAGCTCTACAAAATCTCCTCTCCTTACCTCTCTTTTCCTTTCTTCAGGAGCTCTTGCCCTTCCCCCTAAAAGCTTTGGTTCTTTTCATCTATTTTGACTCTTGAGCCCCCCCAGGGATAAAAATCTGTCACTAATTAAGTGTAATACACATTAACAGGATAGGTAGAAAGTAATTTTTAATATTAAAAGACACTCATATAGGCAGTACAATGATAGCATTCACTTCACAGGACTTGGAATTACTGGTTAACCAAATAACAAAGGCTTCCCAGTAGCAGTATTTGAAAAAAATAACTGATATTAGGAAACATTTTTAGTGCATACACAGCCATTAAATACTAGGATCAGTTGTCAAGAAATAATTGACAACTGGTAAAAATGAAAACACAAAGTTCAAGGTGAAAAGCTAAGAGAATTTTAATTTGAATTATTAGCTATACTTTAAGTAGAAAATACATTAGTTATAATATTTGGGGGAGACTACGAGAAAACTAACAATAAAACAAGCCCTATCCAAAAATAAATGAAGTAGTGATGAGTGGAGTTCACAAGCCTTGCAACCCTGCCTTTAAACCACATTTAATAACAGACTATGATATAAATGAGCTGCTGTGTTTCAGCTTAAAGGTCTGTTGAGGTTATTGTTTTATAACAATTGCCATAATTCCACAAAGAAAAATTAAGTAAAGGTCAATGAAAGCTGCACATTCTAAATCACAAAATCAAGAACAATCTTTTTTTGGCATACGTAACATTTGAATAATAAAAAGAAATTACCTCAATAACAGGTGTATTCTCCCGGAGTTCAGTTGTGTGTGAGGCCAGTAAACCAATCACCCTAGCAACCTTGGCCCGTCTGTAAATGGAGAGAAAACAGGCTCTGAAGAGAGAAATCAGAAAGCAAGGAAACCAACCCCAGCTAGTCACATTACACAATGATGAACATCAGATATAAGAATGTGAAATAAAAATTGAGTGTGATAGGGCAGGCACACACTCCCCCACATAAGTAACCAGAGAAACTCTCCCTCATGTACATGGGGACATATGAACAAAAATGTGCTCTGCAAGACTGTAATAGTGACAAAATTTAAAGAAGTTATGGTTAAATAGTACAATGGAGAGTAAAATCTTAAAAGGCCTTACTTAGGGAGAAGAGAGAAATAGTAATTAATCCTTCTTTTATCCCTGAGTGCAGAGGCATTTGGTAAAAGGTCTCTGTTCTACTTGTGAGTAGACTAACGAGTACATAAACAGTAAATAATGTCAGAACAGTTAAACATATATGCATATATTCACTTTAATTGAAATTTTTACAATAAAAAATTTTACAAATATTGTTCTATTTTAATAAACACTAATTAGTTTTAATGAGAGGTTTCCTTGGTACCCAGCAGAAAACAAAGTTGATATATTTCTAAATAACACTTGATAAGTTTTCTTAATGGAAAAAAAAAATGGTGAGTTGATGAGAACCAAACTCTTATTTAGTGATTGATGCTCACTTGTTTTCTGTGCTAATCAGTTTGTACATTAGCTAGAGAGCCTCTATTTTTCAGGTTCTTAAAACAAACTTATGCAGGACCCATGGAGGGGAATAAATCATACTCAGAAAAGTACCACAAGGAAAATGTGTTGTCATAACTCTAACACACAGAAATCATTTTATGGATTTCAACACTTCTTGAATTACCTATTTGAATCTCTTAACATATACAGATTTAAAATGTCCTAGGCAGTTGTATGATTAGCAACCCACAACTGAATAAAAAGATTACACTTTAAAAGTGATCACTCCGAAAAATATTTGGTAGGATATTGGACCAAGAGTTGCAAGAAAAAGCTTCCAGTCACAGCTTTGCTACGGACCAGCTTCAAGACCACAGCCAAATCAATTACGCTTCCATTTCCACGTGTGCAGTTTAAAATGGCAGCTGAAAAAAAGTTTAAGTTTTTTCACAATTGTAGAACAAATGCTCACAATCAAAAGCTCACTAATGAATTAAAAGATATGAAACACAAAACTTATCTCTTTTCAAAGAAAAGCTCAAAATACTTACAAAACACTGATCTACAGTAGTAGTAGGCATCTATAATCAACAATCATTTATTGTATATTCTCAATTGTCTAGAAGAGAGCTCAAATCCTCTTATCACAAAGAAATGATAAATTTCAACATCACAGAATGTAAAAAAATATTAATAAATAAACTTTAAAAAGTAAAAAGAAACAATAAATTTTTGCAATGATAAATATGCTAATTATCCTGATTTGATTTTTAAATTTATTTTTTAATGAAAAAGTATTGATTATGCATACAAATATGTACAGAGAATGGGGTAGAGTTATATTTCAATACAAGTATACAATATACAAAATCATTCTTCAAACTACAAAATTAAATACAGGTTGCTAAATTTATTCAACTAAAATTTAAACGTTATCAATATGCTAATTAAATATTTTCCCCAATCTCACCATAAACAATTTCTATTAAAACATGCTACCTAAAAACCCTCATACTTTTAAATTATAAACTATTTAAAGTAACAATAACAATAGTCCTCAATTTGTGCCAAAAAATTTAATACAATTATACCCTATACACAGTGCCTTTGGAAGACTAATTCCTTCTCAGAGCTCAGGTTTTTTTCTTCAGTGTCACCACTCCAGGTGGTCCCAATGACTCAGTACACTATATTTGAGAACTGTCTCTTTCTCCATGACAGCACCTGAGGCAGCACTGCCCAACAAACTTTCGTGTGATGACAGAAATGTTTCATGTCTTTGTTCAATACGGTATCCACTAGTCACGATGACTATGCAGCACATAAAATATGACTGGAGCAAGTGAGGAACTAAATATTGATTTGTTTTTAATTTGAATTAATTTTAAATTTAAATTTAAATAACTACATGTGGTTAGTGGCTACCATATTAGAACAAATGTAAAATTCTGTAGTTACTTATTTGATGTTAATTTTTTTATTATCTGTCTCCTCCCACCAGCACATAAGGTCCATGAAGCACCTAGACAGTGTTTGGAGTAAAGGAGGCCCTCCATAAATGTTTGTCAAATAAATAAAATATCTACATCAAAAACAAAGTAATAAACACATGAGTAGAAAAGAAATGGATAAAAATATGGCTGCACAAGGCAAACAAAATTGAAGCAGGATTTCCGATGTAAATCTCAAAAGAGAACTCAACTAAAAGCATTAAATGAGAAAAAAATCCCTTTTAAACTAAAAATGGTATGATCTACAAAAGATATAAGGTGTGAATCTTTATACACCAAATAACAAAGCATAAAAAGTAAACCCAACAGCGGTAGGAAACTTCAATGTACTTCTCTCCTGAGCACATCAAAAAGGCAACAATGAATACATACATACATAAATACATTAAAGCATCCATAATAAAACTAGCAATGTCAAAGTAACAGCTGTATACATCAAACTCTGTACCCTACAATGATCACGCTTCCTCAGTGGGAGGCTGTACAGATGGTGTTTATGCCTCTGGAATCAGACGTCCTGGGCCTAGTCTTGGCCCCATGATAGAGGGTGGAGGGGTTTAGTACCCTGGGGTAAGTACTCATCCTTCATATACCTCGTTCCTGGTTACCTCATATGTTAAATAGGTAACAATATATACCTCATCAAGTTCTTAGCATCAAAGAGATAATCCATGTGTAGAAATTACCATGGTGTTCAACAATTATGTGCTGAATAGGCCAGCTATTATCACCATATTAATTAATTGACTACTGCATGGCATACCTTAAAAGATGTTTTTATACCAGACCACAAAGATAAATGCATAAAATTCCCAAAGGCAGAAATCATATAGACCTCATCATTATTATTATTACATACTATTCATAATATAAACTAAGAACCAAAGATCACCAGGCATTTGAGGAATAAACAGCATTAAAAAGCAGGACCATGATGAAAGAGAAGTGACCTATAGTTTCAAGAAGAACACAATTCTTATAATCCTAACATTTAACCTTAAATATTAATTATAATATTTAATCCTAAATTCTATCCCAAGAAGATAATTTTTATAATCCTAACATTTACCCTCAAATGCAAGAGTATATTATACAACAAAAGTAGGGAGCTAGGAAAAAGGACCAATCAGAAAACAAGAAAATGAACAAAAACTTTCAAATGTGATTGCTGAAATAAAAAAATTAACTGGAGATTCTAAATAATAAAATAGGCAGGGACAAACACCAAGCTTGAGCTCAAAGATAACGTCAGGGAAGAGCCACAAAAAAAGGAAGTTTGGCAGTTCTTCAAAAAGTTGAACACAGGGCCGGCCCGGTGGTGCACTGGATAGTGCGCCACTTGGGAAGCGCGGCCGCGCTCCCGCCCGAGGGTTCAGATCCCACATGCAGACTGGTTCCCACTCACTGGCTGAGCGAGGCGCGGGAGCAACACCGAGGGTTGCGATCC